AATCGTCGTGTATAGCTTTATGTATTTTAGTTGAATAATCAAAATGTTACTACTCTTGCCTTCTCTTGCCATGGCTGATGGTTGTTGTCTACAGGCTCTCTAAATTAATCATTACTTTGTAAATTCATGAGAGGGGGGTAAATCAAAAGAGGGAAAATGAGAAGTAGATGGAGAAGAGAAATTAGAGTGAGGATTTAGATATTAAATACACTATAACTAAAAAATAGATCTTCAACATATTTTCCACCATCACAAACTGCAAAGCGTAGAAATGATATTACATCTTTTAATCAGTTTTCCATTTTGTTCTAAAGATCATTGGATGCTTTAACGCTAATAGCAAAATGATATTAAGTTAAAAAACCTTGATTTTACATTAGTTTTCAAGATTAACAAAGGATGACAAAGTCTTTAGATATAAGCATCCTATCCTAATTTATTCTATAATTTATATAAGTGGGATAATATCCCTCAATTATAATTAGCCATATAGAACGTTATGCATGAAATTATAAAGTATATTTTAGATTTGTAGAAGGGTACATTTGGAGATTTATTAAGAATGAATTTATGAGAGTTATGTTTTTTCTTAAATATATTAGAATATACATATAAGATGTGATCGATATATAAATATATTTTATGAAAATGAATCATATTAGAATATTAAGGATTTGATTAATATGCAGTGAAAAATATTTCATACATTATATATTAAATAGTTTATGACTATTTTGTGTTAATTATGAAAGATAAGTTAGTGAAATTCTCTTAAATCTTGGATTAAATGTATGTATTTTAATTGATTGTATGTTGTGCAATATTGTTTTATCTATACCGATTTGAATATATGATTGATTTAGATTCTTTTAATTAATGATTTATGGAGCCTCATATGTTAATACGAACAAGATTGGCATCAAGATAGAAGTATTTAGCTACATAAGGTTTTTGTCTAGTAGGTGACTCTTTATTAGCTAAAGAACAAATATTTTCTTTTTTTGTTAGAGGTGTATTCCTTCACACTCATTTATATATATTTATCTACTTTTATAATATTATATATTATACATTATTTATTTAATGTTTGGGATAATTACTATTTATTAAATTTTTGGGATAATTACATGCCCCCCCCCCCCCCGCGACCGAAAACATTGCTATATACAAAACCTAGCACCCTCCTTAATCCTATGAAATACATGGTATTTTTATATGATCATGTTAATCAAAAGTGATACTGAATTATTATTGTATAAACTTTAGTAAAATTTATGAACATCATTTGATTGCTAAAAAACAACTATCATGGATATAAATTATGAACTAAATTGATAATAGATTTTGATCATAATAATTATAAAGGCTTCATTGTGAAATCTTTATTCTGAAATAAAATTCATATAATATATGTTTGTCTGTTTGAAGAATGTATTAACAATATATTTTAATGATAGTTGATTGATAAGTCATTTGCGTAGGTATAAATACAAAATATATGCTTGTGAGGGGATATTATGTCGAGAAACATGATGATCATGCATTTGTATATAGTTTTTCTGAACACTATTACGTAATAAAATCTATTAAAAGTTATTCATATTTGAATTTGTTTTCTTTTTGTAAATTATTTATAACTGTTATGTTATTACTTTTGCCTTTTTATTTACTCGTATTTATGTTGTTTGTGTTATCAGTAGATTATGCCAACTAAGGTTATGTTTTGCAAAACCATTCTAATTATTTTATAATTGTTGAATTATACATTGTTTAAAAGATGGCTTTTAAATTCATGCTTTAATTATACATTTTAAAGTTATTGGAACTAGAAGTTATGTAGTTGATTCACTAATGATTCAACTTTCCAATGAAACATTGTGGTGTTAGAAATTTATTTGCATATTAGTGACTATGTAGTTATTATTAGGATTACATGCTCTAATAATCTTATTTGTGAACTAATTTTATTGAAAACATATATTCTTAATACATAAAATTGTTCTCTTATATTTTGTTTAGCTCACATTCATAGAATTATTGGTACTTTTCTAAGCCCGGTGTTGGGACGTGCTGGATATTTGTTGTGAGAGATATTGATAATTCATGGAAACTGGTTTGAGAGGTCCGAAAAAAATATAGAATATAAGCACATAAAATAAGAAATCATAGAGAATATAAAGATCGCCAAGATTTAATGTGAAAAAGCCCGAGAATGAAAAAAATCGCAGAGCCACACTACACAGAAAAATCCACTATGAAAAATGGTGAGAATTATACAAATTACATCTTACTAAAGTCTTTCCGAACTTTGCAACATTTCATGACACTCATCTCCTCTGCTCATCATAAGAGAAATCTAAATCACCTTCAAGGTGGCAAAACTAAACCTTCAAGCCAAGAATTACTCGAATTTGTTTACAGATGTTTGAGCATTGCGATATGGCATTGTGGCACTCCAATGAAAGCTGTGACGCTCTTCTTCCGGTGTTGCAATGTCGTGTTCTTGAGTTTTGTAATATGGACTAGGCGCTGCCATATTGTTGGTCTCAGGCTGAGGCACTTCTTCAGGTGTTGCATTGAGTGTTGATTTGCTCCTGTTCAAGCATCAGAATGTCACACTTTCATGTTTGCGGTGAGGTTGTCTTCTAGACGTTGAGATGTTGTGTACAATAAAATTGTATTTTGGGCATTGCGAGGTTTCAACAGGCGCCGAGATGCTGACTTTCAAGCCAACAATGTTGTGCTCTCAGGTTTCTGAACTTTGATTAGGTACTTTGGAGTTGTTGGTCTAAACATTGGGGTGTTGCACAGTGTTGCAATACTCCCCTTTTGACATTAGTGTCATGCTCTTGGGTTCTGACTTGTACTAGGTGCGGGGCATTGGGTAGATTAAAAAAAATTGGGGGCATCACCGCTGAACCCAAAATAAGGGAGACACTCTCATTTCCTCTAACAAACTCACCTTCAAGCTTGAATTTCAAAACTAATGGCTTTAAGTGATCAATTGATTAACATAATCAAACTCCACATTATGCTAATCTGCTATTTGGAGATTAATTACAATCAATTCTGCTCCTCCAAAAATAAAACATCTTCATAGTTATTAACTATAGTGTGGCTCATCCCTGCCTCAACATTCCTTAGCTCCAACTAAAGTCATGCATAGCTTCATTTTCTCAACTGTTATAGTCTTAGTCAACATATCTATAGGATTCAGAGCTATGTGTATCTTCTTAAAAGACAATTGACCATCTTCTAGGATTGAACGAATAAAATGATACATTAGCTGAATATGTTTTATCTTGGCATGAAGTGTGACATTCTTACCTAAATGATTGACATTTGTATTATCATTATGAATCTTTTTGTTTCCTTACTCATTGTATAATTATTCTATAATGGTCTATAACCAAATCATTTCCATGCTAGCCTTTGTGATAACAATATACTCAACTTCTGAAGTTGATAATATAGTAATCTTCTGTAACCCACAAACCTAACTCGTTGTTGTGTTCTCCAAATTAAAGATATAACATTTTGTGCTTCTTATTCCATCAATATCTCCTAAAATATCTGAATATATATATATCCTTGTAGATTAATCTTGCACTTTCAGAACAATGTGTTTTGTTGACTTTCCTCTCAAGTATCTGAGCATTCACTTCACTTCCTCCGTATGATTTTTGTCTAGATTACACATGTATCAGCTGACCGATCTCACTATATGTGCAATATTTAGTCTTATACATATCATCACATACATCAAACTTGTAATTGCTAAAGCATACAAAATTCTTCTTATCAATGTTTGCTCTGCTTCAAACTTAGGTAATTATTTTTTAGATAGTTTAAAGTGCTAACCAAGGGGGGCGCAAATAGAATTTGCTTCACTCATGTTTAATTTATATAAGATCTTCTAAATTTATTCTACTTGAGACAACTTTAATGTGCATGCATTCCTATCCTTACTGATTCTCAGATCGAGTATTTTTTTTTGGTTGGGCCTAAATCCATCATTTCAAGCTCCTTTAATAATTACTGCTACAAGTATCATATTTTCTTCATATATACTCTAATAATCAACATGTCATCTACGTACAAAAGAAATAAAATATAATAAATATCAAAGTATTTAATGAAGCAACAATGATCTGTTTGACACTTTGTGTACTAACTGTCTGGCATAAATCCGTTAAATCTCTTATATCACTATCTTGGGGCTTGCTTCAAACCATAATGGCTTTCCTTCAGTCTATAGACCATGTTTTCTTTTCCTGAGACTTTATATACTTACGATTGAAGCATGTTCAACTTTTCTTCTTGGTTACCAAGTAAGAAGGTTGTATTTACATCCATCTACTTCAATTGTAAATCTTTCTTTGATACTAAGCACAACACAACCCTATTAGTTGTCACCTTCACTACAAGAGAAAATATCTAAGTGAAGTGAACTCCTTTCTTTTATCGAAATCTCTTCACAAGAAGCATTATTTCATAGCACTTGTTACCATTCAAATCTCTTATTAGCCTACAAACAAACTTGGTTTGCAGCTTCTTTTTTCCATATAATAGTTCTGTCAATTTCTATGTTTGATTTGACATCAACAACTGCTTCTCATCATTCATGTGAAACTCACTCTTTTGAGTCTTCAACTTTAGTGACCTCATCATAACACTTTGGTTCACCACAATCAGTTATAATAGATAATACAAAGAAGATGAATCAATTTGATAGCCTCCCCAATTATGAGAACAAATCATTTATGGCATGCAATATATACCCGTAGAATCAATTCGTCTAAGAGACATAAGAAGAATCTCCTATCCTCTAGAGTAACATATTAACATACAACAATGCAAAATATCAGAAAAGATCAAATCTTCAAGCCAAATAAAATTGTTGCCTTTGAAATCTCCAAGGAAGGGAGATAGAAAAAGACTTTACTTTCCTTAACAACACCAATCGGAGTGCTCCCATTCCAAAGCAAATGATCTCCACCCACAAAATGCGGTCAATAAAACATGACGTTAACAAGACAAATAGAGGCGAGAGATCAGAGCCTCTGATCATACGACTAGTTGTAGAAATAAATTCTATATATGAAACTTCATCGATCGGAGTTTCACCGGCAACTAATTATTGCTGGCGCTTGAGCGAAGTCCATCAATTCTTTTGTTAGATCCAATGATGCTTCTGGACTGATTTAATAGAGGAAGCAGCAGCACCGCCAGCACGTAAAAAGTCAAAATTTGCTCTGCCGTTCGGATGGCTGCGGAGTCATCAACAGACGGTCTGATTCAACAGAGTAGTTGCTCACGCCTGTCGCACTTGATCTCTGTAAAAAATGGTGTGTAATGTAATTATTTATAAATCTCGGGTTTTTTTACATTACAAGCTTCTTTATTCTGGTGACAGCAGAGCGTCCCCTTCGCCCACCACTTCCTCACTTTGCTCTCAACGCAAAGCCATAGATGTATCGTGTGAAGAGTGGAAACTGAATGGTCGTCGTCGTCCTCTCTTTCTCTCTATCTCTCCGTGTGCGGAGTTTGAGATTTGAGCGGTAGCAGAGTGAGCTGGGCGGAGGGAGCTACGAAGAAGCACGCCTCTTCTCTTTTCGAGTGCATTAACTGGTTGAAGCTTCCTTTGTGTTCTATCTCTGCATTTAGCAAGAAAGATGTGAAATCCGCGGTTTCGTGCTACTGTTTTCACTAAAAAACTTCGATCTCTGAGATGTCGATCATGCCTCTTCAAGCAAATCGCTTCTGGGTATCGTGATTTGATTGTCTTCATTTCTCTTGCTTCAGCTAGCGCAGTGTTAGAAATGGAACCAAAAAACTTTGTCGGTTGCGATTTATTCTTTTTTTTTTTCTTGCAATGCGGATCATCCTACAAGCTTTGGTAGTGGAGAATAGCGAAGGATTGGTTCCAAAGGGTGCAGGATTTGACCTTATTTGTTGAATTAGGTGAGATTAGGGTTTGCGTTATGAACTTTTTTTGTTTCATAGTCGGGGAATGTTTTTGTGAAAGGGTGGAGTAAAGGTGGGCTAGGCTGCAGCATCTTACTGTGCCGCATCTTTTGCAATGGGCGCTCTTCTTCTCATTTCAAAGATTAAAAGTTTTTTCATCTCTAGAAGAAGAAGAAAAAAAAAAGTTTGTTGCCCGCTTTTTCTTTGTGATATAGCCTTTAGGAATCTAATCCTTATCTCTTTTATAGAATGGTACGAATGATTCTCCATCCAATAAACGAGATTATTGTTTGGAAATGGCTATGATTTGCTTGACTTGATCTTTTATATTTTGCTGTTTTTTCTTTGTTAAAAGCTTTAAAGCCCCTACAAGTGGGGTGGCTTCGAGAAAAATTCTATTTTTATGTGACATCCCTCTTAACAATCATAATTCTGCTACTATTGTTGGGTGCTCCTTCGCCATTTTTAGATTGCAGGACTTTGGTGTTAATATTGTTTGTGTGAAACACTAATGTAACAAGTTTCTTGAATTTAGACACAGTAAAAGTAAAATTGCTTTCATTCTATTTACTTTGAACTAATTTTCCAGCAAATCAAAAATTGATTTTTTATAATGGTGTTGATAATTTTCATTGTTTGCTTTTATGAGCATTTCCGAGCGGTGTCTAGTTCTTAAACAAAAATGGATTAGCATTTTCTATTATTGCACATTTTGCACCTTTTAAGAACTGATTTTTTACTCGTTTAAGTCATTAAATCCATCATGCTTAGCATTTTTTCAAATTGAATAACCGGCCATTGTAGAATTGACATAATTTAGTCTGTTCTGCATGTAGAAATCTTGGAAAGACTGTATCTTACTAAATTATATGTAAAAGCCATTCCTTCGACCATCATTGAACCTGAAAAATCAATTTGTTTATCATAAGAGATTTTTCAAAGCTGAAGGTTTACTTTGGTCAAATTTTCTTTTTACTAGCTGTAATATGTCCACAATGCAGGATATAAGCTCCTTGTCTTCGTGTTGTAATGACATTTTTTTCACTGAAGAAACAGGCAACATTATGGATTATATTGTCCTTTTCATTTTGCATGATTCACCCACCAATTTCCATATCCCCACCCAAACTACATGCCATGTGGTAGAAGTACTTTTTCATGTTTTTTGGTGTACCACATTTTATGTATTGTTGTTTCCATTGAAAGTAAAATTTAAATAAGTGCTGGTTTTCTTATTTATCACTGCAGTGTGAATCGAAGAAACTCGTGATGCCATTCTGGAAGTCATAAAGCAATTTCTTCTCCACCATTGATGGATAATCAGAAGCTCTCAGCATCTGTCGCTCTATTATTCCTTCTATTCATAGCAAATCCAGTCAAATCAGACTTGACTGCTGACAAACAAGCTCTCCTTGCTTTCGCAGCTGCAATACCCCATGGAAGGAAACTCAACTGGAGTTCTGATACTCCTGTTTGTACTCTCTGGGTTGGTGTGAGATGTGCGCCAGACCAAAGCCGTGTTATCAGTCTAAGGCTGCCTGGGGTCGGTCTCCTTGGCCCAATTCCTGCAAACACACTTGGGAAACTAGACGCTCTTAAGGTTTTAAGCCTCAGGTCCAATGGCCTAGCCTCAAATATTCCTCCTGAAGTCCCATCAATTCCTTCTCTGCGCTCCCTCTTCCTTCAACATAACAATTTATCTGGTGACATACCTAATTTGCTCACACCAAACCTTACATTCTTTGACCTTTCTTATAACTCTTTCATTGGTGAAATTCCCTTAGAAATCCAAAATCTTACTAAGCTAACCGCATTGTACTTACAGAACAACTCCCTATCAGGCGCCATCCCTGACCTTAAGCTACCAAAACTAAAGCATTTAAATTTGAGCTTCAACAATCTTAGTGGGCAGATTCCAATCTCCCTCCAAATCTTCCCTAAAGAGTCATTCTTAGGAAATTCTTTCCTCTGTGGTCCTCCACTAGACCAATGCCCTGGAATTTCTCCTACACCTTCTCCATCACCAGCACCAACTACTCAACCGGCTCGCAAGAAAAGTTTCTGGAAAAAATTGGGCATAAAGGTTATAATCGCAATTGCAGCTGGAGGTTTAGCACTACTTCTGCTTCTTGTAATTATTCTTTTGTTATGTATCCTAAGGAGAAGGGCTAGGGAAGACTACAGATCATCTAAAGGGAAAGGCGTTGCTGGCTCACGAGGTGAAAAGCCTTCGGAGGAGTACAGCAGCGGGGTTCAGGAATCCGAGAAGCACAAATTGGTATTCTTTGAGGGATGTTCGTACCACTTCGACCTGGAGGACCTACTGAGAGCATCTGCTGAAGTTCTTGGTAAGGGGAGCTATGGTACAACATACAAGGCTGTTCTTGAGGATGGAACCACTGTAGTTGTTAAAAGGTTGAAGGAAGTGGTGGTGGGGAAGAAGGATTTCGAACAGCAAATGGAGATGATAGGAAGGATTGGGCAGCACCCGAATATTGCACCACTCCGCGCATATTACTATTCGAAGGATGAAAAACTTCTAGTCTACGACTTTGTTCCTTCAGGCAGTCTCTCCGCCATGTTGCATGGTATGCTTATCAAACTTATATCTGTTTGAAGCACGTGGGTGAGCAGTTAAGCTTATACTTTTGATAACATTAGGCTTAAAATTAGTTTTCCTGAGCCCTTTTGTTCCATTGATGGCCTACAAGTCATAAAACTGGAATCTTTCCATGAAATATTGGAAAAGTAAAACAAATATTTTTATTTCTTGTATATTTTAAAGATGATATAGCATATACATTCTTGTGTTTCTACTGGCTTATTGCTAATATGATGGACAGGGAACCGATCCAATGGAAAAACTCCACTAGATTGGGACTCCAGAGTGAAGATCTCTTTAGCAGCAGCCCGTGGAATTGCACACATTCATGCCGAAGGCGGTGGGAGATTCGCCCACGGCAACATTAAATCCTCGAATGTTCTAATCACTCCGGAACATGATGCCTGCGTTATCGACTTTGGCCTCGCTCCCATCATGAGTACAACTGCATCCCCGTCCCGTGTCATTGTGGGATACCGTGCACCAGAAACCATCGAAACCAAAAAGGTCACCACGAAATCTGATGTATACAGCTTCGGAGTCCTGCTGCTTGAGATGTTGACTGGAAAAGCTCCGATACAATCACCGGGGCGTGATGATGTGGTTGATCTGCCTCGATGGGTTCAATCTGTAGTCAGAGAAGAATGGACTGCTGAAGTGTTTGATGTGGAGCTGATGAGGTATCAGACTATAGAAGAAGAACTGGTTCAGGTGCTCCAGATTGCGATGGCCTGTGTTGCGAGAGTTCCGGAGCAACGTCCTAAGATCGAGGAGGTGATAAGAATGATCGAGGAGTTCCGGCAGTCTGACTCAGAGAACCGACCTTCGTCGGATAAATCTAAGGATTCTGTTACTCCTACACCTTGAGAGATCCAGAAGTCTACAGCAGATTGATTTATGATGGTTTTCTTTGATCTTTTTATTTCATGTATTATTATTATTTTTTGTGTAGAATTGGTGAAAAATGTTTTCCTTTGCCTAACCATTTCTTTTAAATTTAGGCTGCACATTTGATGTAATCATCTTCATGATTCATAGCTGATTGAATTGCTGATTTCAGTTACTTTGGTTTCTTCTGATGGTAAACTGGTGGTTTTATTAAATTCTAAGGTACTGTGATATTTTGTTTTCCTCTTTTATTTAGTTTCAAAATGTCAAAGAAGATTTACATACATACCACACAATTCATGTAATTAATATAGAAAAATAATAGTTAAAAAAAGAGTTGGGATGATTGAAATGTTTTCTGCACTTCCTATCAAATGAAATGTATGATCCCAGCCATTCAAAATGAAATGTTATCTGCACTTCGTATCATATTGGGTGTACTCCCCTGTCTCCAAGCTGGTTTTTTATGCTATCCAAAAGAAATCTTAGATTCTAGAATTGACATATATGTTTGTATTTGAGATTTGATTTCTGGCATTTAGCTCAAAAAAAATAAAATAAATAAATAAATAGAGATAATTGACCAGTGATTTTTTTGAACTACCGAACTGATGTAGTTATGTTGGTCCGACAAAACTATTGAGAATTTGATAAAAAAATGAAAAATATGAGTTAAGATTTTACGTTGAATTTTGATATTTGAGTGAGAATTTGATAATGGAAGAAAGAGGATGGTTGATTTGTAAATAGCAAGTTTCCAGTGCTCTGAATGTAATTGCCCCCATAAAAACAACAGTTGTCCGGAAGGAAAGCTATTCTGTTAACAGAGGCTTTAAAAATAATGATATGAAAGCTAAGTGCAAGCTAGCAGCTCCTGTTTGTTCTTGTGATGATAATGCTTGTTTATAACCTGCCGTCCCAATCATTATAATTATGAGTAGGTATGATATATTTCATGCAATTGAAAATTGTGTTTTTTGAAATTTAGAAATTTTATTGAGATGGGTGAAATACAAGAACTTAGTCATTACCCATATATTATATTCAACTAAACACACGCGCACACACAGTAACGTATATTTACTATTATTTTTAAGTACCTTGCCAAAGTCTTGAGGGAAATTTACATGGAAACCCCATAATTATTATGTATTTACATATCTAAGACCAAAATTTTGATATTATACTTATAACATCTTGGGGTCATAAATTTGAGATGGTGTATTATACCAAGTGATTAGTTTTTATCCAATCGGTTTTAAAGCTTTTGAGTTTACGCGTATTTGGCCCAATTTTATTCCTTTTCTTGGTTTTGAAACGTCTAGGAGTCTTTGGCCCTTTCTATTATATTTGAGAAATATGACACTTTAATAATGTCTCAGTATTATTGAACGAGCCCTTTAGTACTTGATATATGTTTATTTAAAAGAGAATTAATTTGAGAGAGAGTGATCACCAATATGGAGTAACTCATGCGATTAAAAGTGATTAGTGAAGTATGCGAGACTTAACATGTGTTTGGGAGGAGAAATATTTGCGTACGTAGTCAGGTAGGTTACAGGGAGAGTATTGAGGGTTATATCTGCGTTATACTTTCTGTAACATAACTGTAACTTAGAAATACATGAAAATAGAAGCGCGAAACTTACTAGTTACAAGTAAGTTACAGGGAGGTTACAGGGAAGTTATAGAGGGTATAACGCAGATATAACCCTCAATACCCTCCATGTAATCTACCAGAGATACAGAGCTCACGTACGTAAATATTTCTAGTTTGGGAGATTGTTTTTTCTTTTTTTTTTTTTGTTATGAAAAAACTTTTATTTTAAATTTGGGAGCTACCATTTCAGCCACTTTTGGCTAAGGGTCTGTTTGGGGCAGTTGCAGTTTATCTAACTTCTACTAATAAGCATTTGATCCTGGTAATCTGTTGATGAGCAGCTGATCCAAATAAGCTGGCTGGCTGTTTGGTTTGTTTGTTTGGAAAACAGTTTATTTTGGATACTGTCAAACTTCGAGCAGTGGTGTCCAATTGAGATATATTAGAAACATTTGCACTGTCGACCCACCTGAAGAATTTGCAGTCTTCCGGTCCATGGCCCCATCGCGGGCACCTGTAGAATTGTCGTCTGTAGCTATGTGTCTGTCGTGACATGAGTAGCAAGAACGGTAGCCCGCATCGGCATATCACTTGCCTAGACTTCCCTGAATACCTAGAGCTCATCGTTCTACAACATTTAAAAAAAGGGTGGATTAGTTAAAAACTAAAGGAAATAAAGAAACTCAACTTGGAAGCAATGGTTGCAGGCAACAAAATTCTTTTGCCATCCAAGCTGCTCCACACTTATCTCAAAAAAATTAATAGACATAAAAAGTATAAAAACGAGATAAATAAAATATAAACACCTCCACATTCACCAAAAATTTCAACAGATGGATTTTCTAAAACATTCTCGTCGAGTTGGGGAAGGGGGGAAAGAAAATGGATCCTTGCTGGACAAATTCGTGCAAGGATAAGAGATATGCCTTCAAACGAAAGAGGAAAGTCTCTGATGCAGAAGTGCTTCACGAGGGCAATAGAGTAAAACTTTGGAGGCCGAACGTGGATCGCCAAGATAGACCCGCGATCCGCGTGTAATGTAAAATAGCAAACGACGTTTCCATTAACGCGACGCTTAGACGGCATTTTCAAAATGCCGCCGCACCTTTACGCTGTCCCTAACGGGCCCTAAATCCCGTTCTGAAAACTGGGCTGATGAGCTTTTGATCGGAAGCATGGCCAGGAAAAATCATGATGATTATGGTGGTTAGGGTGCTTATTAAGGCCCTTATTTTTCGTGAGTTTTTTTTTATCATCAATTCTATATAATTTTATTTCAAATTAAAAGCATAAATAAATTGAAGGTCCGTTTACACACATACCACTCAGCTTTTATATATTTACATATCTAGTAGCTAACCTTTATTTCTTACATTTATATATATATATATATATATATATATATATATATATTGTGTGTGTGTGTGTGTGTGTGTAAAAATTGAAGTTTAGGTATTTGACATGTGAACACATAAGAATTGGGTGATGAGTATGCAAGTAAATGTTCATCCATACATTACAATTTACAAATTTACATACATAGCACCAGAAACATTACTATTTACAAATATAGCACCTTTTTCATCCATTTTTCAAATTCTCACTCAAATATCAAAATTCATGATAAAACCCCAACCCATATTTTTCATTTATATCAAATTCTCAATGATTTGATCGTGACACATTTAACTACATCGGTTCCGTAGTTCGAAAATAACATATGGATGCTAGTTTTTGTAAATAGTAATGTTCCGGGTGCCATGTATGCAATTATATGGAAAATCTACAAGGAACCATTCTGTTATTTTGTAGTTTTCTTGTCTTTTCTTGCAATTTGCTCCTACTTTGAATCAGCCGAAATTCCATTTCCTGCTGCTCTAATCAATTTCAGTTTTTTGAGAAATGATTGACTGTATTTCTCTCGCATTTATTGATTGTTTCAGGGATTTGGACGAAAGCTTGCGAAAGGGTCTCCACAACTATCTCAAGGTGAGAGGCATCAGTTCTGATTCCCTCTACGGATTCTTGTATGAATATATGACGATTAAGGATGAGATATATGATGAATAAGCATGAGAGGGAGTATCAAACTTGGTTGAAGAACATACACGAATTTGAAGATTTACATACATACCTTTTAATTCATAAGTATTTACATATCTGACACCTAGATTATGTCCACAAGTATTATTTAATTAATATCATTTTGCTCCCTAATTATGTCCTGCATCTTATCCTCCTCATCAGCCAGTTTTGTTCCATTACAAACTGCTTCACTCATTATGTATGCCTCTTAACTTGGAGCACTATGCATAAGGGCCTGATGCAATCCACGTTGTCATTTGGTCGTTGCTTAATATTTTCTCCTCTCTTCACATGTGTGAATGATGACCGGGGCACAATAATTTCTCATTTAAATGCATCATAGCTTACAACAGATCACATAATTATTTCATTTTGTTACCACCAGCCAAAAAGTTTGTCTGTGAAAAAAAAAAATTGACATGTTTTCAATTATATCATTATAGTGTGATTGACATAATTGAATGCATGTCATTGTCCACATATCCAAACAACAGCAAACAAATTTTTCTTTTTTTTTTAATGGGTGATTAAGATTTTTAAAAAAATTTTAATGATAGTTACCTTTTAAAAAATGATTAAATTTCAAAAAAAAAAATAATTTTTTAAGTACAAATTATCAATGTTTTGGTTGTTCTTACCCTATTAAGAAAATGATCAATTAGAAAATTTATAAATTTGATAAATTTTTCATCCCCAAGCTCGTCATAAGCACACGGGCCATGGGCTGGTTTGACTGTAAAAAAGTAAAAATTATGTGGGTCCAGCCCAACCAGATCCTATATTGACTTAGTCAAAGCTCGGCCGAAAAAAAAATAAATTTATTTAAAGTGAGTTACATTTACACCACTTAATTCTATTTTATTTGTTTAGTGCTTATATATCTCACACCAAGATTTTAATATTTTATATTATGAATAATTTAAGTGTATTTGTTGGTAAGGCATCAAAAGTGACTAAATTTTGCTAAAAGTTATAATTTTTATATTAAAAATGATCCTATTTAAATATTTATGTGTTTCCTTACTTATATTTTTATGCAAATATATCTTATTTTGTTAAAAATCATTTCTTATATAATTCAACATCGGCTATGACTTTATTAATTTCTTATAATTACATGATATTTCTCTAAAAAAACGTCAAAAAAAATGTCAAGCGGCAAATTTTGGTTTCGCAACATTTTTTTTATATTAATTTATTTTAAAATCTGTCCAAAAAAACGATTCTCGGATCCCTGAGAACGTTCCCCGCTTTCCCACGTGCGAAGGAAATTTCGTCGCATCTGCCAGTCAAATCCATCTGCATTCTAGGACGATTAGACGGCCGAGATGACGGGCGGCAGATTGCCATGTGAAGCTGCTTTTCTATTTACATACCTTACATATTTAAATTTACAAATATGACACCTAATTTTTTTCCCCATTTGATCGCCGGAGGAGTCTAATTCCTCATGG